AGACTCGTAACAAAAGAAATTGAACAGGTCACAGAATAGCTACCAAAAAACATAAAATGTCCTGGCCCAGACAGCCTCACTGGAGAATTCTACTGAACATTCAGAGAAGAGCTGATACCAATCTTACATAGAAAAGGATAGAATTCTCCCAACTTCATTTTATGAAGCAAGCATAACCATGATACCAAAACCAGACAAAGATATCACTAAAAAGGAAAACTACAGATGAAAATCTCTCATGAATATAGACTCAAAAATCTTCAACAAAATCCTAGCCAACAGAATCCAACACTACATCAAAAAAATAATACACCATGACCAAGTGGGGTTCACACCAGGTATGCAAGAATGACTCAACATTAGAAAAACAACGCAATCCATCATATAAGTAACCTAAAGGAAAAGAACCACATGATCATATCAATGATGCAGAAAAAGCATTTAATAAAATCCAACACCCATTCCTGTAAAAACTCTCAGCAAAATAAAAATAAAAGGGAAACTCCTCAACATAATAAAGGGCATATATGCAAAACCAACAGCCAACATTATTCTCAATAATACTGTATTGGAGGCCCAGTTAGAGCAGTAAGTCAAGCAAGTGAAATAAAATGCAACCAAACTGGTAAGGAAGAAATAAAAGTATCCCTACTTGCAGATGATAGGATCCTTTCTATACACGGAAAATCCCAGAGACTCAACAAGAAAACTACTAGAACTAATTAAAAGATTCGGCAAAGTGGCAGGATATAAGATGAACATACAAAAATCAGTTGGATCCCTCTACATCAACAAAGAGATCTCTGAAAAGAAAATAGGAAAACAATACCATTTACAATAGCTACCAGAAAGATAAAATATTTAGGAGTAAATCTTACCAGGGACACAAAAGACCTATTCAAAGAAAATTACAAAACACTGCTACAAGAAACTATAAAATATTTACATAAATGGGAGAACATACCATGCCCATGGATAGAAAGACTGAACACTGTGAAAATGTCAACATTATCCAAAGCAATCTATAGATTCAATGAAATCTCAATCCAGGTTCCATCAGCATTCTTTGTTGTTGTTATGTTGTTATTTGCCATCAAGTCGGCCCCGACTCATAGCAACCCCTCCTTGGGTTTCCGAGGCAGTATCACTACAGAAGTAGGATTGCCCAACCTTCCTTCCAAGGAGTGGCTGGTGGGTTTGAACTGCCAGCCTTCTGGTTAGCAGTCAAGTGCCTTAGGCACAGCATTCTTTAAGAACATGTTAATTGATAGTTTTATATGGAAAGGAAAGAGAGCTCAGATAATCAAAGCACTAACAAAGAAGAAGAACAAAGAAGGAGGTCTCCGATCTCAAAACCTACTACACAGCCACAGTAGTCAAAACAGCCTGATATTGGTACAATGACACACAGACCAGTAGAACAGAACTGAGAATCCAGAAATAGATCCATCTACCTACAGACACAATCTTTGACAAAATGTCAAAACCCATTAAATGGAGAAGAGATATTCTGTTTAATAAATGGTACTGGGAAAACTGGATTCCATTTGTAGAAAAATGAAACAAGACCCATACCTCACAGCATACACAAAAACTAACTCAAAATAGATCAAAGACCTAAATGTAAAACCTAAAACTGTAAAGTTCATCAAGAAAAATTAGGGGCAAACTTAAGGACCCTAATTTATGGCATAAACTATCAAATATAGCCAAAAGTACACAAAGACCAGAAGATAAACTAGATGACTGGGACATTCTATAAATTAAATTCTTAAGGGCATCAAAAGACTTCTCCCAAATAGTGAAAATAGAATTTACAGATTGAGAAAAAATATTTGGCAATAACATACCCAACAAGGGACTTATCCCTAATATTTATAGAAAACTTCAACACCTCAACATCAAAAAGACAAACAATCCAATTCAAAAATGGGCAGAGGACATGAACAAACACTTCACCAAAGAAGATACTCAGGCTGCCAACAAACATATGAAGAAATGTTCACAATCATTAGCTATTAAAAAGACGCCAATCAAAACAATGAGATATCATCTAACCCCAGCAAAGTTCAACAAGACAGAAAATAACAAATGCTAGCGAAGATGTAGAGATATTGGGACTCTCATACACTGCTGGTGGGACTATAAAACAGTACAACCACTGAGGAAAATGGTATGGTGCTTCCTTAAAAAGTTGGAAATAGAAATACCATTTGATTCAGCAAAACAATGTATAATCATAAAGAAGAGAAAGCCAGGACATGAATAGATATATGCATAGGCATGTTTATCACAGCACTATTCACAGTAGCAAAGAGATGGCAACAACCTAAGTGCCCATCGATGATGAAGAGATAACCAAACTACAGTATATACACACAACAGAATACTATACATTAAAAGAATAATGAAGAATCCAAGTTCACTCACTGCCATCAAGTCAGATCTAACTCATAGCGACCCCTCCTTGGGTTTCCAAGGTGGTATCACTATGGAAGTGATTGCCCAATCTTCCTTCCAAGGAGTGGCTGGTGGGTTTGAACCACCACCCTTCTGGTTAGCAGTCAAATTACTTAGGCACTAGATTAATGTGAATGATCTTGGAGGACATAATGCTGAGTGAAGTAAGTCAATCACAGAGGGACAAATATTGTTTGAGTCCACTATTACAAAGACTCAAGGAAAGGTTTACACATGGGAGGAAAATTTTTTTGTTGGTTACCAGGGTTAGGAAGGAACAGGGGAAAAACTGCTAGGTAGATAATAGACACATATTGATTTAGATAAATAGAAAGGCAATATACAAAAGCAGGTGACCAGCACAGTAATGCTAAAGAAAAGGATGACACAAGAGAGGTATATTAGAGGTACAAACAAAAAAAGTAAATACTTCTACATACACAATACTGTATTATCAGAAATAACAAACATTAATCTACAGGTGGATACATATGTAGATCATGTATGGGTAGGCGAAAGGGAATATACCCATGACCATACACAAGTTTGGCAGACAATATTTCTACATATGTTTATATGCGCTATAAAAATATCCATATATATAATAGAGCTAACAGGTGACAAAGTTATGATAACTTCTTAACCACATCAAATATCTGGAGGGAATGAGAGCCACTGGGCCCACAGGCTCAGGACCATGGGGGGAACATCAAGCTCAATTGGCATAATATACTACACCAAAACATGGCTCTATATTCTACTTTGCAGGGCAATGACTGAGGTCCTAAAAGCTTATAAGCAGCCATCTAAGATGTGACAAAGGAGCTCTGGTAGCATAGTGCCTAAGGCACCTGACTACTAACTAGAAGGCTGGCGGTTCAAACCCACCAGCCACTCCTCGGACGGAAGGCTGGGCAATCAACTTCCGTAGTGATACTGCCTCAGAAACCCACGGAGGGGTCACTATGAGTTGGGTCCGACTAGACGGCACATAACAACAACACAACAAGATGTAACAATGGTCTCTCCTCATTCGGAGCAAAGAGTGAAGAAAATCAAAGACACATGGAAACAATTAATCCAAGGGATTGGTGGACTATGGGAACCTCAGTCTGCACGATGCTAAGACCAGAATAAACAGATGGTGCCCAGCTACCACTGCTAACCACATAAAAAGGGATCAGAATTAGAGATCCTGGATAAAGTGGGAGAAAAATGTGGACAAAACTCAAAATCATAAAAAAGATCAGGTTTACTGGTCTGATAGAGACTGGAAAAACCACCAAGACTGAGGCCCATAGTCACCCTTCACGCCTAGAATTTGACTCACTCCCACGGCTTAGCTTCTAGCCAAACAACAGACAGGCTCAGAAGGTGAACAATTATATCAGGTAGGTACACTTCTTAGACCAATCAACCATGGGACATCAGAAGGGCAGCATTTGTGCAAGGAGAAAGTTCAGAGGGCAAGAATGCATAGGAGAGAAGGACACCAGGAAAAGTTAATCACAGAGAGGAAGTAGGATGAGAACAGTTACACTGTGAGGATTTCAGTCAATGTCAGGAAACAAAATGCATATGAACCGTTGAATAGAAAATGAAATTTGCTGTGTAAACTTTTGCCCAAATCACAATAAAACCAAACCAAAATTTACTGCCGTCAAGTCGATTTCCACTCATGGTGACCCTTCCTTGCGGTCTGAGGCAGTATCACTATGGAAGTAGATTACCCCATCATCCTTCCGAAAAGTGGCTGGTGGGTTTGAACCGCCAGCCTTCTGGTTAGCAGTCAAAAGCCTCAGGCACTACCCCACCAGAGCGCCTTTATTATAATCACAATAAAAAGTTAAAAAAAAGAATGTATACATGTATATATAACAAAAATATAGTCTCAAAAGAAACGTGGGAAATGACTACAAAGTCTTTCCTAGCTTTAACAATTATGACAATACAGGGCTTGGTCAGAACAAATAATTTCAAATATTATGGGAAAATAAAATTATCCAAGTTTAGTGTAAAGTAAGGACAGAGTTAAGGAAAGTTATAAGAGAAGATTAGCAAAATACTACAAGTTAATGTTTATTTGGGTAAATTCTGCTATAAAATGGAATTTGAACATTGTGGTTTTGATATCAAAGGTTTTTCCCAATATACCAAAACTTTGCATTCATAGCACTTGAACCATTTCCAAATGTTTTTCATTATGTCATGTTATCCTCAAAACAACTTTGTGAGAAGAATAAAGATCTTCAATGAACCCCACGTAGCCAAGGTAAAACAAGACCACTCTCATTAGTAGTAGAACTGGGAGGAAGACAAGGATTCCTGATACTGAGCCTCACCGTCCTTCAGTTTAGCTTTAGATAGCTGCCTAACATTTTTCAAAACCCACTTAAAGGGCATTCCTACTGGGAATTTCTGCACTTTATCTGACAGATAATATTCTCTACCCTGATAGTTAAAGTATGGTAAAATTTCAAATATAAGTTTCTGTTTTGAAATATATGATAGAGATACGTATTTTTAAAAATTTTACTTACTTAGAATGTTGCAGTTTATCCTCTATTAATGGAAGAACAGCTGGAATCATTTCTCGAGGAAAGATCTGGCTGACGACAGTAAGTGCCATACACACTTCTACCAAGTTAGTACTCTGCAGATCCTGTCATAATTATTAAGCAAAGAAAACATTCAGTGTAAATTTTGAAACCAGAGATGGAGAGCTCAATATAATGGTCCTATATACTTAGTAGTGTTCTAGTAAATTTATAATTAATGAGTACAATCTGGTTTACCTACATATTTTATAGGAATGTCACTATTTCATTTGTCTTAAAAAGGTCGATAAATATAGCCAAAAAGCAGTAGACTTCACCGGATGGAGTACACAATAAATCAGACTGACTATATCTATGGCAAGACACAATAGAGAGAAGTTCAGTATCTTCAGCCAAAACAAGGCCAGGAGCTAACTGTGGAACAGACCATCAACTGCTCATATCAAGTTCAAGGTGAAGTTGAACACAATTACAACAAGTCCACAAGTGTCAAAATATGACCTTGATTATATCCCTTCTGAATTTAGAGACCATCTAAAGCACAGATTTGATGCACTGAACACCAATGACCAAAAACCAGAGGAGGTGTGGTATGACATCAAGAACATCATCAATGAAGAAACCAAAAGATCATTAAAAAGACAAGAAAGGAAGAAAAGACCAAAATGGATGCCAGAAGACTCTGAAACTTGCCCTTGAAAGGAGAGTAGCTAAAGCAAATGGAAGAAATAACAAGATAAAAGAGTTGAACAGAAGATTTCAAAGAGCAACTCAAGACAGACTCAATTATTATAATGAAACGTGCAAAGACCTGGAATTAGAAAACCAAAAGGGAAGAACATGTTCAGCATTTCTCAAGCTAAAAGAACTGAAGAAAAATTTAAGCCCTGAGTTACAATACTGAAAGATTCTACAGGCAATATATAGAATGATGCAGAAAACATCAAAAGAAGATGGAAGGAACACACAGAGTCACTGTACCAAAAAGAATTGGTCAATGCTCATCCATTTCAGGAGATGGGAAATGATCAAGAACCAATGGTATTGAAAGAAGAAGTCAAAGCTGCAGTGAAGGAATTGGCAAAAAACAAGGCTCCAGGAACTGACGGAATACCCATTGAGATGTTTCAACAAACAGATGCACGCTAGAAACACTCACTCGGCTATACCAAGTGATTTGGAAGACAGCTACCCAGCCAACTGACTGGAAGAGATCCATATTTGTACCCATTCCAAAGGAAGGTCATCCCAGAGAATGTGGAAATTATCGAACAATATCACTGATTATCGCATGCAAGTAAAATCTTACTGAAGGTAATTCAAAAATAGTTGCAGCAGTATATAGACAGAGAACTTCCAGAAATGCGAGCTGGATTCAGAAGAGGACATGGATATCCTTGAGCAATGAGGGATATCATTGCTGATGTCAGTTGGATCTTGGCTCAAAGCAAAGAATACCAGAAAGATGTTTACTTGTGTTTTGGCTCTGCAAAAGCATCTGATTGTGTGGATCATATAACAAATTATGGATAACATTGAGAAGAATGGGAATTTCAGAACACTTAACTGTACTCATTAGGAACCTGTACCTAGACCAGGAGGCTGTCGTTTGAACAGAACAAGGGAATACTGCATGGTTTAAAATCAGGAAGGGAGTGCATCAGAGTTGTATCCTTTCTCCATATTTACTCAATATGTATGCTGAGCAAATAATCTGAGAAGCTGGACTACATGAAGGAGAACTGGGATCAGGATTGGAGAAAGGCTCATTAACAACCTGTGATATGCAGACAACACAACTTTACTTGCTGGAAGTAAGGATGACATGAAGCACTTACTGAAAGAAATTGAAGACTACAGTCTGCAGTATGGATTACACCTCAATATAAAGAAAATAAAAATCCTCACAATAGGACCAATAAGCAGCATTGCAATAAAGGAGAAAAGATTGAAGTTGTCAAAGACTTCATATTACTTGGTTCTACAATCAACACCAATGGAAGCAGCAGTCAAGACATCATATTTGCATTGAGCAAATCTGTTGCAGAAGCGTTCTTTCGAGTGCTAAAGAGCAAAGGTGTCTCCTTGAAGACTAAAGCGTGCCTAACCCAAGCTGTGGTATTTTCAATCATCTCATATGCATCTGAAAGCTAGACAATAAATAAGGAAGACTGAAGAAGAGTTGATGCTTTTGAGTTGTGGTGCTGGAGAAGAATACTGAAAGTACCATGAACTGCTGAAAGAACTAACAAATCTGTCCTGGAAGAAGTGCAGCTGGAATGCTCCTTGGAAGCGAGAATGGCCGGACTTCATCTCACCTACTTTGGTCATATTGTCAGAAAGGACCATTCCCTGGAGAAAGATATAATGGTTGGTAAAGTGGAGGGTCAACAAAAAAGGGGAAGGCCCTCAACAAGATGGTTTGACACACCAGCTGCAATGATGGGCTCAGGTGTAGCAAGGATCATGAGGCTGGCACAGAAACGGGCAGTGTTTTGTTCTGTTGTACATAGGGTCACTATGAGTTGGAGATGACGGCACCTAACAACAACAACAAAAAGCAGTTGACACAAAAGGAAATTGCACTTTTGTTCTGATACAGGCCAAAGTAGTTTCCTTTATTACAGCCTTTGAAACTTTTCTAAACCAGTAACAAAACTATTTTATTAATTTTTCTTGTTAATCAGCAATGAGTGAAAGCTTAAAAGGGAGTAATTCTAGAATATATACAATAAAATGCAAACATTCATATACACATATATGCACACAGTTTATAACTAATTCTAATAGAATCAGAAAATACTTAAGGGTATTATATACTATATACACACTACTATAGTATATACACACTACTATAGTAGTATACTACTACAGTAGTATACTATATAAAATATAGTATACTATATATATGTTGTTGTTGTTGTTGTTTTGCCATCGAGTCGGCCCCGACTCATAGCGACCCCTCCTTGGGTTTCTGAGGCAGGATCACTACGGAAGTAGGAATGCCCAACCGACTCATAGCGACCCCTCCTTGGGTTTCTGAGGCAGTATCACTACGGAAGTAGGAATGCCCGTTGGGTAGTGATACTGCCTCGGAAACCCAAGGAGGGGTCGCTATGAGTCGGGGCCGACTCGACGGCACATAACAACAACATATATATATATAGGAGCTCTGGTAGCATAGTGCCTAAGGCACTTGACTGCTAACCAGAAGGCTGGCGGTTCAAACCCACCAGTCACTCCTCGGAAGGAAGGTTGGGCAATCCTACTTCCGTAGTGATACTGCCTCAGAAACCCAAGGAGGGGTCACTATGTGTCGGGGCAGACTCGACGGCAAATAACAACAACAACAATATATATATATATATATATAGTATACTATATAAAAATATAGTCGTATACTATAGTATATTACTTGTATTTTACTATAAATCTATAGATTAAATTGTATTTTTATTATCCGTACATTTCAGAGGCACAATGCCTAAGGCATTGAACTGCTAACCAGAAGGCTGGCAGTCCAAACCCACTAGCTGCTCCATGGAAGGAAGATGAGGCAATCTATTTCTGTAAAGATTTACTGCCCTGAAAACCCAATGAGGTCGTTTGAGTCAGAATCAACTCGATGGCAGTGAGAGAGAGAGTGAGTGTGTGTGAGAGCGTACATCTCAGTTATCCAACTATACACTATTCTCCTTTAAAATTACTTTCTGAAATTTAAAGACTTCAATTATTCCATTTATATCTGTATCTCATTAAAATAGATTCTAGAGAAAAAGACAACAGCATGGTCTGATGGAAAGCACACCTGACAATGAGCCTGAAGTGCTAGGTTATATTCTAACTCTGTTTTATTAAATGAGGCATTATTAAGTAATGATAATAGCAGCAGCTACTATTTTACACAGTCATTCATTTAACTCTCACAACAGCTCTGTGAGTTCTATTATTATCCCCACTTTAAAGATGCAGAAACTGATCTAAGCGATCTTTCAAACTCTACCTTCTTCCAAAAAATGTCTAATTCAATGACTAGAGAAATGTCAGTGCTTGTTAGAATAATGTAAACCTCCTATTAATCAATATATAATACAGTACCTTTACAACTGTATTCACAAGGAGAAGCAACAGTTCATGATTTTCATGTAGAAATAAAGAAACAGCCAAATATCCTATAAAAGTCGAGAGTAAAAGTTTTATTATTGCCTATCAAAAATAAATTTTTCACAAAAGTTATACAAAGTAATAGGATATTACAAATTTTAAGTACCAAAGATACCAAGTATAAATAAATATAAAAACAAATTATACAATATAAGGTCCAAAAACCTTCACTACGGAAGATTTCAGGTGTTCTTCATCCTGAAGTCTTTCAGAATTACATTATTACACAGGATATGCCTGAAAAGGACAACAGGCTATGTGAACCAACTTAAAGTACTGTAAATGACATTAGGAATATATGCCTCATAATTTCTGTGCAAATCTCTCCACTATCAATCAAAATTTTCTATCTTATAGCCAAACATGTAATTATTCAAAATCTAATAGTTGTTATAGTTTAATAGTGAATTAATATTTGTATTATTGAGTGAACTACCTAAAATCAACTCATATGATGGAAACTATACATTAAGACATAAAAGAGATCTTATTTTCTCTATTTGAAGACTCACTTCAATGAATGCAGCTTTTGAGGAAAGAAACACTGCCTACCACATTACAAGTATTCATCAACTTACATGTACATTCTTAAAGAAGCATTCTTATTTCAACACTATGCAAACATAAAGAAATACAGCTTAGAACTGAGAAAATACATCAATACTATTGTGTTCTGGTCACCTAGTGCCGCTCTGACAAGAATATACCACAAATGGGATGGCTGAACAAACGGAATTTATTCTCTTACAGTTTGGAGGCTTTAAGTCCAAGTTCCAGTGCCAGGCTCTAGGGCCTGGGTGAAAGCCCCTCAACCTTGGTTTCAGCTCTGCCTCCTGCTCCCGGCCCACTGAAGCTAGAAGTGTTTCTTCACTCAGACAGCTGCTGGCTGCTGAGGCTGACAAGCCCAAGGTGGACAAATAAAATGGCACAGTCCTGATGTTACCAAAGCATATAGCAGGCCATTAATTCAAGTCCATCAAAAGTCCCGAGGTTGGCAGAGCGTTGCAGGCTGCTGAACAATGACATGGTTACATGCAGGGTTCAAGCATGCCATAAGCTAGAGACTATTCCCCAAGGCTTCTGCTTGTATACAGGAAGTAAACCACATCCCTAAGGCAGCTACTCAGCTGCTCAGAACAGATTCCACCATGAAGTTGATGACCAGTCTCATCATGGGGAATACTACATCCAGCTGCCCAGCCACTCAACCAGGCCTAGCCAAGTTGACACAACTTGTCAGACATTAACTGACAGACTTAACTACCACATATAGTAAGTACTATATACAGGCAGTCCCTGACTTATGATAAACCACACTTATGACTGTCCTTTTTCTTTTTAAACATCTTATCATTAGTAATATATACTACCTACAATGTTGCAGTGCATAATTTGTTGAGACTATCATTCTCATGCTAACTTCCAAAGACAGACAAAGATCAGATTTATAAAGATACTGAAGGCAATAATGAAAGAAAAAAAAAATAAGACATTCAACATATATCAGAGCCAACTTAACAACAGAGCCATTGGAAGAGAACCTTGTCATATGTCAAGGACTACCTGGGAGCTCTGGTAGCATAGTGGCTAAGACACTTGCCTGCTAACCAGACGGCTGGTGGTTCAAACCCACCAGCCACTCCTCGGAAGGAAGGTTGGGCAATCCTACTTCCGTAGTGATACTGCCTCGGAAACCCAAGGAGGGGTCGCTATGAGTCGGGGCCGACTCGACGGCACATAACAACAACAACAACAACCTGTACACAGAATCCAGACTCTTGTGCTATTTTCTCTCACCCTTAATACTGACAACTAACATTTCTTGAGCAGTTACTATGGGTCAAGGACTTTACAAGTATCACCTCATTTAATCCTCACAACTAGTCTATGAAGTAGGTACTGTTATTACTGTCAATATAATACAGAGACCAAAATGCTGCCCAAGGTCCACGGTTATTCCATGGTAGAGCTAGATCAAACCCAGACCATTTGAGTCCAGTCTATACTTTTAACTCCTATGCTGTATTATCTCTACACACAGTGTCCCTTGAGGCCTTACTGCCTAACTCCCATCCTCATTGTGTTTCACTCTTTTCCATTCTTTCAGCCCTTTGGTTAAGGATTCTAATGTTAACTGTCCCTTTCATTACCTGGTATCCATATTGTCTGTGACTACTGAGGGGCATGAGAATACAGAATTTCCTCTTCTCAACTCCAACTAAGACGTAGCAGCATGACCCACTGGGCCATCTTTACCGAAGGTCAGAGGAGCAAAGATACTACTCTCACAGTCATGAAAGAGGAAAAACCTGAGCAAGGCCACAAAAAAGATGAGGAAAACCTCAGAGAGCATTTAAAGCAGAGATAAAGTCTTAGTGGACTGCTGAGAACTCACCTACTTAGCTAAGCTACCACACACACCTATGTCACCAATACCAAGGCACAAGAGTATCAACAAACTTATTCAGACACCATCTCAATGAAGCCTTAACTCTACCTGTTCAAAACAAAAATAAACGTGTGTGACAAATCAAAAACCAGAGAAAAAGTTATTCTGTGACTCAAAAAAAAAAAAGGTTTTGAAGAAACAAAGAATAACAATTATAACTACAGAGTATCACTGATATATGACTACTATGAAGGTATAAAGTAAACAGGGACTGACTCAAAGAAACCTGGGGTCACATTCTGACTCCACTGTTGATTACCTCTGTGACCTCAGATAAGTGGCTTGGTCTTTCTGAGCCTCAGTTTCACATCTGTAAAATGAAGATAAATACTATCTCATGGGATAAAGTACCTAACACAATGCCTGCATTAAAAGATAATGAAATTTATTTATTTAACAATATACAAAAAAAAAAAATTTAAGAAGGCATTCTCTATCAGAGAAAGCACTGAAGTTGACCTTGAAATCTCAGGTGAATAGATGAGGCAGAGAGAAGACATACAGAAGGTTTAAAGGTTATCTTTTCAAAAAAAATTTTCTTCCTTCATTAACACATACTAAGAATTTAATGTCATGCCTCTATAAACAACTGCCTTCTTTGCCATAAGGCCAGAATTGGATGGTGCCCAGTTACCACTATGGTGGCATAGTACCTAAGGCATTTGACTACTAACCAGAAGGCAGGCAGTTCAAACCCACCAGCCACTCCTCAGAAGGAAGGCTGGGCAATCTACTTCCATAGCGATACCGCTTCGGCAACCCAAGGAGGGGTCGCAATGAGTCGGATCCGACTTGATGGCAGTGTATTATCAACCAAATACATCAAAAAGAGGAAAATGCAGAACAGAATTTTAAATTCTCATGGAATCCAGACTTTCTGGAGGAATGGAGTCTGGATGAAGCCCCATAACTATTGCCCTGAAATAAGCTGAAGGTTAAGGTTTAACTTAAACAAAAATATTCCCTGAAGTCTTCTTAAAAGTCAAACAACCGTTTAGCTTAACTAGTAAAGAATGTCTGCCCTGAGCATCGTACTCTTTTAAGATCTCTCTATATGGGATCAAAGGACAAGAGTAGCTCAAAAGATTAGGTAGGAAACTTAGAGGCAGTGAGTTTATCTTAATGGACAAGGAACACTTAGAAAAGGAGGACGCAGATGGTTGTACAACTAGAAGAATGTAATCAATGTCACTGAATTGTAGATGTACTAACTGCTGGTGTATATTCTGCATCAACAACAACAACAAAACGGTATTTTTAAAATCTGATACCTCTCTCTAGTTGGCAATAAAATATTTTCCTAAATTCAAGAATTCCAGTAAAAATTACTCTGAAGTCTCCCTTAAGTCAAGCCTTCATAAATATGAAATAATACATGGTCAAAGTTATTCACTGCAACATTATTTATAATAGTAAAAGATAAAAAACAACTTATATGTCCATCAATGGGTATCAGGTCAAAAAATTACAGTACATCTATCCAATGGAATAGGAGCTCTGGTGGCATAGTGCCTACGGCATTAGACTGCTAACCAGAAGGCTGGCGGTTCAAACCCACCAGCCACTCCTTGGAAGGAAGATTGGGCAATCTACTTTCGTAGTGATACCACCTTGGAAACCCAAGGAGGGGTCGTTATGAGTCAGATCCGAGTCCATGGCAGTGTGTTTGTTTTTGGTTTATCCAATGGAATATTAAATAACTGTATAAAATAATGAACTGTCAAAATAAGGTGTAAAATAGTCTATACAGTAAAACTCGTGAAAGTCAAAACCTGGGCAAGGCAGAAAACTATCAGAGAAGGGAAAACTCAAACAAAACAAGAGACAGAAAGTTGCTAAGATTGCACCCTGTCAAAGGTAGGAAACTTGCAAGACCTGGAAAAACAAGGCAGTCCCACTGAGTTCCAGCTCTCACAGGTTTCACTGTAACATGTTATCTCTCATGTAAAGTACAGGGTATATAATATGCTACCTTCTCGAAATCTATTTCCAAAAATAAAATGGAAATTATTAGAAATTACTTAAAAAAAGATAATATATAGGGATAAATACATAGCGGACAAGTGGGTAGAGAGAATAAAGATGGAAGTGAGACTTCTCTGATTATATCTTTTTATAATGCCTTAACTTTTGAACCATGTAACATTCTACATATCAAAAACTCAAGTTAGTTGAAAAAAAGTGTTCATTACATGTAAGTCTCAGAGGAAGACTATAGTGAACAGTTGTATAAATTAATTACATCACCAATTATTTTTTTATTTATTGATTATGTAAGGTTTTCAAGCTTTCCCAACTTTAGAGATCTTGGCAACAGGTTGTGTTTTCTTTTTTAGAATTAGTTCAGGAGCCAAGACATTAACATATAAAGATATCATCACGGGAGTCACTTGAGTACTCACAGTGCTATACGGCATTCTATTTGGAAGAAAGAATACAATAGATCTAGAAGACAGGGTGATGCAAGACCTGGCAGGGCTTCCTTTGTACCTGAGGTTGCCATGATGGTACTAAGGGGAGTGGCGGTCTCTAAAGTAGCCAAGAAGAAGACAGGACAGTATTTTGGGGGGAGGGAGGCTTCAATAAGTAACTATGTACACAGTCCTAGAATTTTTTCCAAAGCTTCTCTTTCCCACCCCATCAACTTACAGCACAGGTCAATATAGGCTGTGAAAGAATGCTGGTCCTTGATGACACTATCACCTCCTGGCTTTACCACAGAGAATATGTTCAATTCCCGTCCTATTCTAAAGTACCTCCTTCTTGGGATTCTGATACAATGTTGAACCTTTATAAACTGATTTAAGTCCTTCAAAAGATTTTTCCTAATAGCTCCAAAGGCTGAATACAAAACAAAAGTTTTACAAAGAAACTTCTAATCCTCAGAGCTAATATTGTAAAGTGGAGAACAGAGTATTTAAAATTATTCCAATCAATTTCAGTTTTATTCCATATAGAAACATTTCTGCCTTTTAAACTGATCAGCTATATTAAAGTATAATTTACATACTATAAAATTCACACATTTTAACTGTACAGTTCAGTGAGTTTTCACAAATAGTTATGTAAGCACAATCACACGAGCAGGCGGTTTTTAATCTTCCCCATAACTCTAAAGTGCTATGAATTAGGAAAACTGATTTCATTCATAGGCTTTGAATTTTTAAAGGGTTATTTTAAAGCTTTGGAAATTACAATGCAAGTGTTCTAAAAATATACTATTTCACCAACCCTCATTCATTTTATATGGTAATTGGAACTTTAAGAACAACATTAAAATACAAGTCTTAAACATATACATACCTACTCTCTTTTCTAAGAGGTTTCCTTGTTGTGCCAACTTGATTGCATGTATATAGCCAAAAGAAGCATCATATCCAAGCATTTCACAATATATAAGTCTCACCATACATTCCTTCATCATTTTCTGAAAAGCAAAACATGTAGTAACTATACAAATAAATAGAATGGTTTGATTTTGGGGAGGCGTGTAATCATTTAATAGGGAAAATCCTTTTATCCTGGCACTAATGAGATAATACATATTGTAAATTAATCACCAAAATAATTAAATAACCTGACACCGGACTTTATACACTGTATACTAGTTACTCTCAAACTTAATTTTTAAAAAAATTATGTCACTGGTAGTTAAATATTTTGTTACTGGCAACACTATAAAATAATTTCACTGTGGCTATTTTAAATTCTTTGTGCTTCTGCTGTAAAATTTAGTTAATTTGTGAGGCATATGGTCCTGAGACAAAATTTCACCAACGGTGATTTTACTTGGCTTCTAAAAGGTAACTCATCATTCTGAAATACTCTGCCAAATGAAAGCATACATAAAATTCATACAAGTTGATGATGATTTCTGCAACAGAAATATTTTTCACATTTAAAAATCAAATTGCACCTGGACTTCCTTCAGAATTATTATGCTATACATAATAAGCAAACGTTTGTTTTAGAAATATTCTTTTTTAACAATTTTCACAATTATTATCAACTAGGAGGTCATGATTTTATTAATGACATATCCAGTCAAATATTTAGTTTTTTTAAATGAGTGTTGCAATATTTACAATCCAAGCTAAAAGCTGTAAGATTCTAAAATGTGTTTTATTAATGATAATATTTCCATTCTCAATATTCACAGCAAATTTTTATCACAAATAAAACATTTCAAAATAAAGAAAAGTTCAGACTATTTTAATACTCAGACTATTTTTAATAAAAACGAATTATAGTTCTTAAATTACAGGATTACTAAATCACAAAATACATAGGAAAACAATAGTTTAAAAAAAAGAATAACCATATACATATAACGGCTCCCTTGTTACCCTCCCGAGAGGGACCGGGTCTCCGGGAGCAAGGTAAGCACG